AATCCGAAACTAGTTTCGGATTAGTACCTTTCCGAAACTAGTTTCGGGTAGGTTTCGTTTCGAGTCCAACTCTAGTGAACACCTAAACATTATTAAATTCTATGGAATCACTAAAGGTAAAATTCGTATAATTTCATCATGATCATTTAAACGAAAATATTTATCTAATGAGAATCTATAGATAACGACGGATATTATAATATGATTTTACAATATGCTAATGAGGGTGCTTTACAACAATACCTGGAAACAAAATTTTCAAAACTACGATGGGTAGATAAACTAGAGATTGCTAATGGAATAGCATGCGGACTTTCATTTCTACATTCTAAAGATATTATTCATAGAGACCTTGTAAGTACTATGTACTTTACTGAATTTTATATGTATTATTCACCAACGCTCTAATAATTTAGCATTCGGGGAATATCTTAATTCATCAAGGAAAACCAAAAATAGCAGATTTTGGAGCATCAAAGCAGATAAATGGAGCACCTATGAAATCAGATTTAAATTTTACTGGAATACTAGAATACACTGATCCTCAGTGCATTCTCAATGGTGATGATAAACGTAATAAGAAATCCGATGTTTATAGCTTTGGTGTTATCCTTTGGGAAATTTCAAGTGGAAAATCACCATTTCAAGACATTAGATCAGTTAAATTAGAAACATACCTCAGTATTCGTATATGTAAAGGATTTAGAGAGGAGCCAATAAAAGGTACACCATCTCAATATACCGAACTTTACAAAAAATGCTGGGATGACGCTCCTTGTAATCGTCCAGAAACAAATTCAATTTTCAATACTTTACAAAATATTATTCATGATGAGACGCAGATTGAGAAGGGTATGAAAAATTTAGAGGGGGCGCAATCAATTGACTTGGAAAGAAATCGAGGAGGAGAAGTGTTAGCCCAAATAGGTGAATTAGAAAATCAGAATGAAATTCATGAATTTAAAGAAGCCTTAGAACTATACGTCAAGCCGCGGGGGACATGGAATGTGCCAACTATCAATAAAAAGGAAGAAGGCGATGTGGAAGAAGTAGTTAATCGGTTTTTGACCTCAAAAGACAGGCTAACTTCACATGATAAGGAGATTTTAGAGAAAGCAGCCAATGAATTTTTGATTAAACAGAAAACCACATTGCTGATTGAAACGGTTAATAGTTTTTTTGAGCCGGAGAATCAATTAACTATAGAAGATATAAATATCTTGAAAGTAGCAGCTAATCAATATTTAGCTTTAAAAGATAAGAAAGCTTTGAAGCTTTTGGAGATGGCAGTAAATGAATTCTTGGAGTCACCAAAAGAAGGAGTATTAAAAGATGCAATATTTGAAAATCCACTTGTCTTGGAGAATGAACTATCCTTAGAGAATAAACTAGATTTAGGTCATCTAGCTACAGAGGATGTAGACTTTAAAAGAAGCCGCAAAAGACAAAGAAAGTTTCGAAACAATTGCCAATGAACTTCTGACTTTAAAGGCTAAAGAAATTTTGGAAACGGCAGTAAATAAACTCCTAACCTCAAAACGTAAAAAGGTACTGTTGATATTAGGTAGCGGAGGCACAGGCAAATCGACGTTTAATCGTTATTTTGCTCGTCATCTATGCAATATGCCAAACAAGACATGACGCAACCCATTCCTTTATTTATCGCATTAGCGCCATTAGAAGAGTTTATAAATAAAAATCAGGATTTTATTGAAGCCTATTTGCGGGAAAAAGGCAAACTGACCGCAGACCAAATTAAAGAATTACGTAATAGGAAGTTTGTATTTATTTTAGATGGTTATGATGAGATTGCTGAACGTGAACGTCATTGCTATGATAGCAATATGTTCTCCAAATGGAAATATGCAAAAATTATCATTAGCTGCCGACCAGAATACTTAGATGATAGCAGTGGAAAAATGTTCTGGCCTAAAGAAAACGGAGAAAGAGGGTTCCAGAAACTGACACTTACACCATTTTCATGGGCTGAAATAGAACAATATATCATGAAATATGTTGATTATTCCAAGAAGAACGGTAGTCCATTACCATGGAACGCATATATAAAGCAAATAAAGAATATACCACAAATAGAGGATCTTGTATGCAATCCTATTCTATTAAAAATTGCTTTGACGATTTTACCGGGGCTTCTCGGAAAAAGCGAAACATCTCAGATAAATCGTATAGTTTTGTATGATGAATTCATTAAGAAATGGTTTGAGCGTGCCCAAAATCGTTTACGAAACATTCAATTAAAACCTAAAGAACGAGAAGCGTTTGATCTCTTGAATGTAGATTTTACTAAACATTGTTTACAATTTGGTAAAGAATTCGCTTTCAAGATGTTTGTGGACAATAACAAAGTAGTTGTAAACTATGATCCAATAAATGAGGAGATTACATCCGTCTGGGCAATGTTTTTAGGGAATACAGTTGAAAAAAGTCGCCTGATTCGTTTTAGCATGCCATTAATTCGACGCGGAAATCAATATTGGTTTTTCCATAAATCATTACGAGATTACTTAATCTCTTGCGCATTGTTAGATTCATTTAATGATACATCACAGACAAGCCTCTTCAACAAGCATTCAATTATAACAGAACCCGCAATTCAACAATTTTTGGCCGAACGAGTCCAACAAATGCCAGAGCACATACAATCGTTGTTTAATTTTATTGAGTGCTCTAAAAAGAGTGCAAACATTGAAATTGCTTCGGCTAATGCCATTACAGTTATCTATTTTCCTAATTTAACAGGGGCAAAAAATCTGGTCAAGGAAATTAATCAAATACCGAAGGATTCTGATATTAAGAAAGAATTTTATTTACGTTTTAAGCATCAAATATTAATTGTAGAAAGTTGCGTTGATGCACTTATAAAAAATACGAATTGTGAGGATTATTTGGGCGTGAAAAAGTCATTTCTCAAAAAATTTGAAAATTTTTTGACAGATATTAGAAATTTTCTTAAGAATGCATATTCATATTCCAATGGAACCCCTAATAGTAGTTCTTTACAGTGGATGGAAGAATTAAGTAAGCTCGCGGCAGATTTACAATATGCTATCATTATCGACAATAAAATACAAGCCAATAAAATCTTAGAAAACGTTGAAAAAGTAAGAGAATTTTTTAAATATATTAATTATATATCAGTTTTAAATTTTTTTTTATATTCAGAACCTCGATAAAGTTATTTCGACGTATAGAAATGTGAATACGAGAATGAATAGTTTAGATACGAAATCTGATATTCATGCGAAGAATATTAATCCATCTGACTTACATGATCCTAGATATAAAACTAAAAATGATATTCGTCATCATGTCTTTAGGAAAGTTATTTACCAAGTGGTTGATGTTGCATGTAAACTTATTAAAGACTATAGTCGGTATCAAACTGAATTGACAATTCTTGAAAAATTATGTAAACCGCCATACATTCCATACATTCTTCATTTTTATGGTCTATCACGTGCTGATACGAGTGATGGCAATCATGAAGTTATGGTTTTTGAATGGGCCCATCATGGGACTTTGACAGAACTCTATAACAATTTCGATATTCCTTGGGTTAGAAAGATACAAATTGTTCGAGATATTTGTCGTGGTATTTTATTTTTACGTTGGGCGAATGTTTTTCATCACGATCTTAGATGCGATAATATTTTTGTAAGTAATTTAAATTGTATCTATCATGTAATAAACAGCAATTATTAATGTATCAAATTACAGGTAACTCAAAACTTGGATGTAAAACTTGGAAATTTCAAATATTCACATACAGTAGATGCAAATACTTCGAATATTTTGGATTTGATAAAACATATTCGCTGGATGGCCCCTGAACAGGTCGAAAAGTATACAAAAGCATCTAATAAAGGATATATACTGTTTTATGAAATATTCAGGTTTGATACTTTTAATTTATTAGATTGTATTTACTTTTTCACCCTTTTAATCACAATTCTCTGAGATTAGTTTTGGAATGCTCATTTGGGAACTTTGCTATGAGAGATATCCTTATAGTGTTCAGGGTTGGGACAATGATCTTGTTCAGAAAGCATCCGAACATATTTTAAGTGGCAAACGAGAAGAGCTTTGCGTAGGAAAATTTATAGACCCTATTGATAAAAAGATTCAATTAGGATTTATTAATATCATTAGTAAAGGTAATTATATTTGATCCCTGTAATTTTTTTTTATTTAAATTGATAATATTAATTTTTCTTTATAAATAGCATGGCGTCATGATCCATATCAACGAATAGGTATTATGGAATTAAATACAATTCTTGACGATATGTCTACAAAATATCCTATTCCTCCTGATGCGCCAACACTTTTGCGTGATAAAACTTATGATTTTGACGGAAAGAAAGAATCAAATCAAACAAGAACAGCTTCTTCAGATTCTTTGTTGCCAAAATTTGATGATGATTTTGAAATAACTGACTTTAATGATTCAAGTAACTTTTTAGTACCTCTTAAAACAGGTATAGAGTTTCATCAAAATAATGATCACAAAGCTGCGTGGGAGTGCTTCGAACAACATGTTAAACTTGGTGATCCATTAGCAAAATATTGGCAAGCATATTATTATTACAACGGATATGTTGTAGAAAAAAATCTAGATCAGGCCAAAAATTTGTTTAAAGAAGCTGCTGATGACGACAATCACCCTGAATCACAGTATCAATATGCAGTTATGCAGCTTCAAAGCCTTAATGGTACTGATGACGAAGCTACAAAAGAGAAAAATTGCAATGAAATTTTACAATACCTTAAATTAGCAGCCGATAATAAGAATGTCGATGCAATGTTTTGTTTAGGAGACATCTATATGAACGGAAAACTTAGAACAAGCCAAAACAAAGAGATGGGATTAGAATATTTAGAGTTGGCGGCAAAAAATAATTCCGAGAAAGCAATTAATTTATTAAAACAATTAAAACAAGGTTATAGTTAGGATTTCTATCTTTACTTTAAATTGTTTTGCCTTTACAGATTCATAACGACTGAATATTAATTTCTATTAATATTATAAATAAAAAATGTCAAGATTAAAAATACCAGGAACATAATTATGTGTCGTTTACTGACGACATGCGTGTTTTTGAATCATCGATCATCAAATGCAATAAAAAGCAAAAAAATTTTACCCTTATAAGTATCATAAAAATTTTTTCTTTACTTTTTTGGCATGTGAATCCCTTGAATGAATATTAAAAACATATACAGTCTACCCTCGTTATTATTAACCTCGTTAATATCAACCTAAGCTATAAGATGAATTTTTAAATTTTTATATATCAAAATTCCTCATATATATCATCTTTAATATAATCCTTATTAATATCACTATCAACTTGAATTTTAAACCAATTCAAATGGGTTGATATAAACGAAGATGGACTGTGTTAATCAAGAAAATTCAACAAGCTGCAAATCTAAAGATTAAAAATCAGTAATTTATTCGAAAAATTATAGAATAAGCAAAAACTAAATGAAACTATGCATTCGAACTTTGTGAATTCGTAAAATATACGTAATTAAAAAAAAAATCATATACCCGAACGAAGCAAAGTTTTGAGTCAAATATCAATTACTTTCAAAGTAAATTTTTTCTGATAATCTAATAATGATCTAATATATGGAACGAATCATTAACACCTCGTAATTGTTTCATTCGTGATAGATTATTCATTATTTTCATAGAAGATAATGTAATATAATACAGTAATGAGATTAATTTTGTAGAAAATTTCAATAATTAAGAAAAAAAGTGTTAAACAAACACAGTTTATATAATTTATTTAAATATAAATTAAATTTGAGAATTTACTCTCGATGTCTACAGTACTAATAAGGTTTACTAATATATTCTGAAAATTTATTCGTATCGTATAGTTTGCTAGTATATGCATCTTGAGAATGTATTTGATTAATGGGTCCTAGTTTAATCTTATTAGCTTCCAAAAATTGTTTTTTGGTTTCATTATCGTCTTCCTGATCCATTTCTTCTAGCCAACGAGTGATTATTTTACAAATTTCTGTTGCAGTAGGTCTTTTATCAATATCTTCATCCATACATTTCATAGCTAATTTAATATAACAATCTGGCCCGAAACATTTAGGTCTTGAACCACGAATGATTTCTGATACAAGAAAATCATCAAATGAAATTCCATCAAATGCTCTTTGACCGCTTGAAATCTCAGTTACGATAACTCCAAGACTATAAATGTCTGATGCTTGAGTATACGGCTGACCCACTAAAACCTCAGGCGCTATATACGGTAGAATTCCACAAATTTTTCCTTCGCCTATTTTTCTAGAAAGTCCAAGATCAGCGATATATGCGTTATGCAAACCATAAATTTGTAAAATGTTTCCGCTGTGTAAATCTCTGTGAACAAGTCCCTGCGAATGAATTGATTCGAGATCCAAAGTTATACTGTACAAGAGATCCAATTTATCTTTCCATTCCAACTGTGATACTTTTAAAAGATTTTGGTGTAACGAACCTTTTGGTGCAAATTGCATAACAATAATATAATCACCGTAATCATCTCTTGACATTCCAAAACAGTTCAAGAATGAAGGATTCTCGTAACCAATTTCACAGTAATTCTTCAATTCCTGAATGAATTCTTGCTCATTTTCATTCGAATCACGAATCACTTTAAGCGCAACGGGATTCCATATATCGTTAATTCTATCATGCCAACTTGCATGATATACAGTTGCAAAACCTCCTTTCCCCCATTCCTTGACATCTCTGAATTCATTATAATCAATCCAAAATAATTTAAATCTCGCATCGTCTAATATTTTCCTAAGTTCAGGATTGACATGATTTGGTGATTTATTAGTTTTCAAAAGATTTCTATATTTTCTGAACCAATAATTAGCTTTCTGAATATCTTTCTTTGTACCGACACCGTTTCGATAAAATAGAGTAACATTTCTCATTGCAGTTGTATTACCCAAATTAGCAGATTTTTCACAGTATTCAAATGCTTTATTATAATCTTGATCAACTCCCCTTCCATTATCATAACAATAGCCAACATTACACATTGCAGCAGCATTATCCAAATCAGCCGATCTCTTCCAATATTCGAATGCTTTCTGATAATTTATTTCTACACCAACTCCATAATTATAAAAATTACCAATATCAACCATCGCATTCGGATTTCCTAACTCAGCTGCTTTCATATAATACTCAAAAGCCTTCTTTTCGTCTTTATTAACACCAATACCATATCGATATTCATGACCACGTTCATAAAGTTGTTCAGAGCCCATTTGTTTTTTAAAGTAAAAAAAAAAGAATCGTTAATTATTGTCCGGAGCGTAGCGGATATTTAATATTATTCAATGTAATACAAAGTTACACAATAGTTACGTTTTTGATTAGCTTATTAATTCAGTCAGGGATTTTTCAAAGTTGTGTAACGCAGATCATTTCGTTTTTTGGTAAAGATCTGCAATTTTGTGGTACAAA